CTTTATTAGGAGTCCTCTACTAGAGCATCCGCTACGAGAATAGACGACAAACTGGCAAGCAAATAAGAATAAAGCTTAAATAACCAAGAGACTCACCACCATATAAATCACGAACACTTAGAGAAGAAAACATCCATCGAGGTACAACCTTGGGGAGGCTACTGACAAACCCAGCATTTCCCCAAACTCCCCCTCACATCTCTCCCTATTACTAAGCTCTAGCTAGATAGGGCATATGCCTTAGAGTGGTGCTCTTTCTCTTCCCCTTGGGGTCTTGTGTGTTGTGTTGTGTGGGGAGCCTCTCCTCTCCTTATATAGTACTCCATGGTTGGTTTTGGGGGAATATTATGAGAATCCACCCCTTACCACCTTAAGGAGTAACTATGGGCTGCCACGTGGAGGATGGGAGCGAGGTGCGTGGGCAGGGGGTCGGGCAACCCCTGGGGTCCGCCGACCCTAGATAGCACCGTCCCCCAACCGCCTTTGGCTAGCGGGATGTGTGCTGGGCCTGGGCCTGGGCCTAGTCTTCTCGTGCTTAGGCCCAGGTTTATCTGGTAAGTAGCCCTTTTCCATTTCTCTATCCTTTCTTGGCCCTTTTTTTATATATTTGCACACATGTCCTCCTATAAATGAGAAATCACCAAAACTTGTGGAATTCATTAGTTATAATCTCTAATGCTAAGTTTGGTGTTCATATGAGTGGTTTTTATGTGACAAATGGCGATTGATTTTAGGAGTTAATGACCGCCAACATTGTCTCACTCCTACTTAATGCATTACAGCATGTTGTAATTATTAATTTAGTTTTGGGAGAAATAAGTAGTAGTCGGCACTCTTCCACTTCCAAAGTTGTCATATGCTTTCCACTTCCGTTTCTCGTCTAGTTTGTCAAGGTGGTTCTATGTCTACTTCCTTACCACTACAAGAAATGTTCCATATTTTGACATTTGATATATGTCATAATACCTGCAAAATATGTCACAGGTCACCATTTGTGACACAAGTTGGCAAAAAATGTCAAAAAATGAGCATCTTCAACGACAACTTATGACCTTTTGGTGTTCATGTCATAACATTATGACATTGATTTTGGACATCACAAACGTTTATGACATCTACTTTTATGTCACAGGTTCTTGGACCTTGCCATGTAAACAGATGCCACATAGGATGCCTTGTTGACATGACGCTTGGGGGTGGACTCCAGAAATGTCATAAAAGTGAATTTAGCCTATTTAATCCCACGTAGTAGGTAGGCTTATAATGGACCAAGCCCATTACTGAGGCTCTTCTTTTGTTGGCTTGTTATTTTTTCAAGGTTTTTAGCCCATTTTTATTTTATTCAGCCTAACGAGACTCTTTTGTTCAATCCACATAACACTTTTTGGGCTAGCCCACGTAGCATTTTTATTAGACCAGCACGCACACCACATATTTTCTAGGCCAGCCCATATTGCATTTTTTCCTTGCCACATTTGTCTTAGACCAGCCCAAACAAAAACAATCCAATTACAAAATAAGAAAATCCCAACAACATATGAATTATAGTAGGATAATCAACACATAGGTCTTACGCATCAATTTTTTTTGATAAAATACACATGAATTATCAACATTCAATGCCAATCTGGTCAACCATATTTAAATCTTGAATAGAAGAGACAAACATATGGGTCCACATCTTAAATACAGACCAAAGTCTCTCACATCTCAGGATAATTGCTATTCAAATATTACTAAAAGATCGAGTTTAACTTACCAATTCCGACAGCCTTTGCGATGTTCTTCTTGCACACACGAGTGAGAAATCAGATCAGTGGTTAGTATATATGGCCGTGCAGTATTCGTGCGAGAGTGCAGATCTAAGTGTAAGGCTAGTTGCATGGATTAGTTTTGCATTATCCTTACAGATAGTCTTGCAAAGAACAGGTCTAAATGCATCTATGCAAAAGCAGTTCCAAAACAGTAGTTGCAATACTAACAATTTATTGGCAGGCAATTCAACTAATTCATTAAGATCTTTGTTGAACATCTCGATGGAGTGCAATTCAACTAATTCATTAATTCATCAAAATAGCAACTTCAGTATTTTTGACATAGAAATGTAAAACAAGCATACATAAAATCAGGATTGCAACACAAAAAAGCATTACTCAAGAAGATGTTTTACATTGGTGACTGCAAGTAGACATGAGAGGATCTAATCAAGCACAAATAGGTTATAATAAAAGTTGACATTTTTTTCTGGAATATCAAGATATATCACATTCCACACACCAACAGTGATGAACATATAAGAGGTGCAGCTAGTAGACATCATTATTAAATCAAATGCCATTCTTGTAGTACATGTTGCCATGGAAATTAGGGGTCATATTGTTGTTTCATCTCTATATTTAGTTCTTCTCTCATTGTAGTAATCTTTTAGAGTATGTAATGACAAACGGTTCACGTTGAAGTGGCTGAGTTATGAGTTGTTTACAACGCTACAGATGTGTTTTGGGAGAAATTAAGTAGTCACTTGGTTAACTCTTCCCTTTCGCATTTTGGGAGAAATATATAAGTAGTCACTTGATTAACTCTTCCCTATCCCAAGCTTTCACGCGCTTTCCGCTGCCGTTTCTCTTCCACTTTACCTTTGTGGCCCAACATATTCCTTATTCTATTTCCAAGGAAATTACAGGCATATAGTGTTTTCTTCCCTATCTTGTGTTCTTATCTCATTAAAATAATCTTTTACAGTGCTACAAACGCGCGATGATACTGTTTTTTTTGGTCTTACTGCCCTTTCATAAGCTGTCACGCGCTTTCCATTTCCGCCTCTCTTCAGCTTTTCCTAGGTGATACAACGTATTTCTTATATTTTCTCTTATTACCAAGGAAATTAGAGGCATATAGTTTTTCTCCTCTATCTTGTGTTGTTATGTTATTAAAATAATCTCTTCAGTTGGTCGACCCATTGAGGCAACATGCTACACTATCCAATTTGAGTTGACAAGGCTTTGTTATGAGGTCTATATAGCTCTACAAATGCTTCAATTTGAAACATATTTTTTTGGTAGAGACTAAGATTCTAAGTAGTCATTGGGTTTATTGTTCCCCTTCCCAAGCTGCATGCTTTCCATGTCTGTTTCTCTTCCACTTTCCCTAGGCGGCATGTCATATATTTCTTATTATCTTACCAAGGAAATTATCGGCATATAATTTTTTTCTTCCCTACCTTGTGTTATTTTCTCGATTGAACAATGTTTTTAGTTGGCGTATCGATTCACGCTGTGTGCTGCACTAGCCAATTCACGTTGACGAGACTGAGTTATGAGTAAGCAATGCGACAAACACCTTGAAACTGAGTTTTGGGAGAAATTAAGAAGTAGTCGCTGGGTTTAATTATTCTTCCCCTTCCTAGCTGTCATGTCCTTTCCACTTCCGTTTCTCTTCCACTTTATTTATTCTTTTTAAAATGAACCAGGCAGGAGAGCTGCCGATTATATTAAAAAGAAGATGAATCCAGATTGCGTAATACAACAAAAACTACAACAGAGCGACGATCTTCCACTTTCTTTAGGTGGCACGATGTCTTCCCTTATTCTCTTGACTAGGAAAATTAGGGAGAATGCAATTTTTTGTTCTCTATTTTTGTGTTTTTGTCTCATTATACTAAACTTAAATTAGTTGTTCGATTAGTTGAGGCTGCATGCTGCACCAGCCAGTTCAAATTTAACGAGGCTGAGTACTGAGGTGTCTGTAGCAATCTAGCCACTAGGTTCCAAATTAAGTGTGCAGCTCAAGATTTAAATAAATATAATTAAATTGGTTGTTTTCTTTCCTTGACTAGCATGAACTGGATGTATTGTGGTAGAGTCTATTTTGCTTCATGTTATTATTGTTATTCTGTTTGTGAAACTGGATTCCATATTATTTTCTCACATAGAATTAGGAAAACATATTCTTGTATCTAGTGAAAAGTGTGAGGGAAGCACTAATAATAAACTCATATATAGCATTGTGCTGTTGATATGCTTGCAAAAAAGAACTTCAAATCACTTATCAGTCCAGAAACTGGCGCTAATGATTTTTGTGCTCACAACATAGAAATTAATTCGGGACCAAATAAGTCTGCTAATATATATAATGCTGATATGGTTCTTATTGTCAATATACTAACACCTTTTGGCATGACTTGTTTATGTATTCTTACTCTCGTATAAGAGAATTACTTAAAGTAGTGCTTACATTTTAGTACGTACACCCTTTGACAACGAAGTGACATACAATAATGCAACAATAAGGTGTATATATTTCAATATTTCATGGAACTACGTACTCCATTATTGAGTAGAAAATTGTCACTACTTCCTTTGGTCCATGTTCACAGCACAAATTTACAGCACTAGTTGTCCTTAACCACCAAATTGTACTACTGAGTAGTGTAGACTACACGCTTACACTTTGCTGTCTGGTCAAGGTTTTTTGGCCTCCAAATGCTGCTGGCTCCACCAAATTTACAAGCAAGAAGGTTTTTCTATGAATAGAATATAATTCCCGCGCTCCACCCCTATGGCAGCACGTGTCAAAGCCGCGTATATATCTGCTTCTCCTTAATATAATAGGCAGGTCTTTATTAACTGCCTCCTGCCAAATTCAAACCTGATGCGCCAAGTCACATATTCGTGACTAATAAACTCATGCCAAATTACCAACACTAACCGGGGCATGGTAATATTGTTGTAGTAATATATTTTTGGAGAGAATTGAATGCATGCCCTGTATAGACGAACGTTCCAATGCACGTCATCGTCCATACATTTACAGCTGTATAGCACCAGGTGTTTTCCACAGAAACCAGAGAAAACACTGTACTATTTTGCATCTATATATAGCCCCCCAATCCTCTGTGAAGTACTCCAACCAAGCAGATCGAAGCTAAACAAGAGAGAGAGATACAGATCTACAGTACGTAGTAGTAGTACTACTGTCGTAGCCAACCCAGCAACCAAACCATGCCTTGCACATTCTCTACACAGAAGAGGGCTCATCTTGCCCATCAGGCGCCGCCGGCGGCTGCGACGTCCTATTGGTCGTCCTCGTTTCCGAAAGACGTCACCATCAAGCTGGCCGAGCGCCTTGTGACCGACAACGACATCGACTGCTACATGGCTTTCCGCGCCGTCTGCCACAACTGGCGCACTGAGACCACCAACCAACCTGGGAAGGTGGACGATCCCACCGACCCCACCCGCTTCCAGCCAACCAAGTGGGCACTGCTCGACAAGCAGGATGACCGCGTCACGTTCGTGGATGTCGACGCCGGCCGGTTCCTCCGCATGAGCATCCCGATCCTCCGCAGCTACCTCTTCGTCGGCGCCACGAGCGGCGGCCTCATCCTCCTCGGGGAGAAAGAGGAGCCCCACCGGGCTTGTCTGCTCAACCCCTTCACGGGCGCCATCGCCCACTTCAAGGTGAGAGCACCCGCGGAAGGGGTGATGGCGGTCGCGGTGACCACGAAGCCGCTGATGGTCTTCGTCTCCCTAGAGGATGGTGACATCATATGGGCGGACCAGAGTAGCGAGCACTTCAAGCGCTATAACCTGATGGACTCTGACAAGCCTACACTGATAGCTGCCTTCGACGGCGATGTGTACGCCAGCGATCCGGACGGCGCGATTTTCATGTCGATTATTGATGATGTCCCTGATGGGGAAAAATGCCGGTCTGCGGCGATAATCTGGATGGGCGCCACCATTCCTAGCCCTAACAACAATGCTAGTCCCGACGCAAGTCCTGAAGCAGATCCAGGGAGTAAAGGCAGATATTATCTGGTGCAATCTGGGGGAGATCTGCTGCTCGTGACCAGGCCATTGGATTGTGTTGCTGATCAGCCTTTGGTTCATAGGGTGGACACCAAACGGAATGTGCTTGAGCCGGTCAATAGCATCGGCAGTCGTGCCATCTTCGTCAGCCATGTCAGGTGCATCTCCATCAACGCCGACAAGTTCCGGGGCATCAAAGGTGGCTGCATCTACTTTGTGGAACCGCCGATCCTAGCTCAAGACGATTACGCACCTTCAACAATCACCACTTATCAAGTTGCTGCCGGGCCGCAAGCTGGTCTTATCATGTTTGAGGAAGGTATCCTTGAAGGCTGCTTCCGTCCGTTCACAATCACCCAAGTCTTTGCAGATTACTGCAGGTCTGTCCACTACCATGAACTCTACCAACTGATCTTCAGTGACTGGGATTGGGACTTCACCGACTCCGAATCTGACGAAACATCATCCTATGGATCTGATTACGAAGCAGCATTATGGGAACTTGAAGAGGCAGCTGAATTCTTGGGAATTAATTATGAAGCTGAGGAGTGAATAAATGTTGTATGCATAGTCTGGACTTGAGGAGGGCACCTTAGTATTTATTATAAACTTCATGTTGTTATTAATAATGTTACTCGAATTCGATGCTTTAGCTCAGCAGCTTGCTATCTGTTCAGCCAGACAAACATTATATTCTCAAATGCTACAGGTTGTGTAATCTTCTTTGGGATGTAGTAGATATGGCTCAATTAATATATCAGTCCGCTATCTTTGTCGATTACTTAACTTTTGCAATTTTATCTTTGGAATGTCATGATGAAATCATATGATTTCAAATTGATAGATTTTTAATGGAAATATGTGTTCAGGTTTCAGTCGTCGGTACATATTGTAGGTGTAGAAATATTCAGTTGGTGCGCTTAATATCTAGAGAAACCCAGGCATGACATGTGAAGGCAAGTGTGTTCACACTAGTCAAGGACAAGACTTGACATTTCTAGGCACTGCTGGAGTTAGCGGTGAACGGTTTTCATCTTCATCAAGATGTTTGACCATAGATGCACCATTAGATGTAGAAATCCAAGCGAAGTAGTTGGGCATCAGGCAGGGTTAATGGGGCGTATACAGTAGTAGGTGGTAGAGGATAGCATCAACGGCATCAGACTCGCTTAATGGAATGGTTAAGGAGGGAGGGGGAGCGCCTCAAGGACATTAAAGTCATGTATTGTTCAGCACATTTATGATTCGCTCGATATCGACATTAAAGTCCAGTTTTTCTTTTCCACCTAGCCAAACTACCCATAATGCCCAAGATGGCAAGACACCCAACTCAGCTTAGGAAAAGGGCTCGACGCCATGCTGCTCGATTACTTTAAAAATACATTCTTTGTATTTTCTAGGCCCATTAAATTAAATTTACTTATATTGTATCAAATATGTGATAAATGCATGGCTTCACACATTTGGTCCTCCCCTAAATCAAAGCTAGTCCCAAGTTTTGCGATGGCTACAGGTATTTGAGTTTTTGCAATGGAAAGGAAAATGTGTCATGCTCTTAACATTAAAGGTATTGACACATATAGGCCCTATTGTGGAGATTATAGGGTTTCAGTGATTGCGGAACATAAGTAGTTGTGGCTAATGTGTGTTTTGCAGGGTTAAACAGAATTGAGTTTGTCACATTGAGAATGACCACTTGTGTCTTGGACCCAAGACTTTGTTCGCGAAAGTGCATGGCACAAAAGATATTTATGAAAACTAAGGACATTGTAAAGTGAATGTATGTTGTTGTCAATGGGACATTTGTTAAGTAGTGTGCAATAGGTCTTTGTTTTTCTATGGCCTACTGTTAAGGGGAGTCCAAGGTATTCAACTAGAGAGAATCGAAGCGAGAGCATGGTGAATGTAGCCCCATTGAGATGGTTTCAAATGAAGGTTCTCAAAGAAGTCGAATTGGTCGAGATCAAACTTGAAAGAGGCTAAAAAACAACACCAGAGCATGATCCAGACGACAGGGTAGACCCCTAGCGGACTGTTCGGTGATGTTGTTTCATACGAAGAAAGGACTTAACCTAGCAACCATGTGGGTGCCATATGATCAAATGAAGGACATCATGACCTTGGCATATCATCTGGTATAGTCAAACTATACTTAGCAACCAGTTGGCCAGCTCACTATGGTGTGTCATATGTTCCGGCGGAGGACTTTGTGATCTCGGTGGATCATCCTATGAAATTCCATCTTGACTTAGTGACTTGTTTGCATAGTTAATAGTGTGAACCACAGGATTTTGTAGAAGACTTCATGGCCTCGTCAAATCAAACTATGGGCCAAGCTAGACTAAGTGACCAGTTGGCCAAGTCTTTGTAGTGCACCGTATGATTCGGTGAGACTATGTGACCCATAGGCGTATGATATGGTGGACAACATTTTGATATTCCCAACTATCCGTTGAAGGAATCAGCTAGCACAGTGCCATCGTATGATCCGACATGGCATTTGGAGGTTGGCGGATCATCGATCAGGTGATGATTGTGTCGGATAGCTTTTTACAATGGTTGGTAGCCTCTTCACCCTATGTATAAGTGCTACCCTTGGCTCATGAGCTACTCTTGCACCTCATTGTTGCCAGCATCTACCACTATTATAATCGTAAGAATATCCAAGTGTTTTTAAACTATTAGCCATTTACATGTACGGTTGGGAACGTAAATAGCTAAGGGTATCCTATCGCCCTTCTCCCCTCAGCTATCCATAGTCGGTCATTCAACCAATAGCCAATGGGATAAACAGAACCATCGATAACAACTAATCATAGTGTTCACAGTAGTTAACACTCATCATAAACCGTCAAAATAACTTGTATAAATGCATGAAAATGATCAACAACAAAGGCTTAGGGGTTTAAACTAATAAATTCCACAAGTTTTGGTGAATCTGTGTTTTTAGGAGGATTTATTCGGGAAACAGGCAAAGTGGACCCAATCGTTAGAGCAAATCACGATCATCCACGACGAAATCGACTTAAAGGCCCCCCAAATCACCGTAGAAGACAAATCACTGTGACCCGACCTGATCTGTCAGGGGTGGGGGTCGGTGGCGTGCCCCACCAGTAGGCCGACCGGCCTATGGGCCTCGCCTATCGGTCTCCGCTTCGTACGTCGGTTTGCCACCGCCTCCTAGGTTAAATCTACACCGTGGATCAAGGTCAGTTTGTATCTAGGTCTCCGATGAGGCGTTTCCATGGATTCATGGGCCCATAGGACTCCTGGTGCCCCCTATAAAAGAACCCCCTTACCTCCTCTAGAAGGGCATCTTCAACCTGATCAAGGGCCACCACAATTATCCAAGAAGATCAACTAGAGAAGATTAGAATAGATCTCCAATACCTCAAAGCTTAGTATTGTCTAGCTAGTAAGATCCAAGTAGAGTTGGGCTACTGATCAGAATTCTAGATTCATCATCTGGAGGCTTGGTATAGCCATTGTATCCTTTATATTTCATATCTTGTTCATGACTTTATGCTTAATCTATATTATGTTTCTATCTATCATGTTCTTAGTTTACTTTGGTAGTATGCTTGATATAGTCATAGTAAAAACTAAATTTATGCAAAGGATCGCAAAGCGCTTAGCTCAGTACTCGAGTGAGTTGGGTGGTCGACATTGTGTAAGCGTGGTGCTTATACGAAGTTTACCTGTGGATGCACCCTACATTCTGGATCATGTGGCAGATCATGAGGGTGATAGCCTCATTGAATCCTTTGTAGTCCACCTCTCATTTGTAGGTCAAGTAGGACTCGGTTACAAAGGAAGTCATGCTCTGTTCTTGATCTTTCTTAGTAATGTCCCTTATGTGTAGATGGTGGTCGACATTGTGTAAGCGTGGTGCTTATACGAAGTTTACCTGTGGATGCACCCAACATTCTGGATCATGTGGCAGATCGTGAGGGTGATAGCCTCGTTGAATACTTTGTAGTCCACCTCTCATTTGTAGGTCAAGTAGGATCCGGTTGCAAAGGAAGTCATGCTCTGTTCTTGATCTTTCTTAGTAATGTCCCTTATGCGTAGATGAACAGTTAATTATGGTATAGAGGAGAGTATGTATGCCTTTGTGTACATAGACTTAGTATATAGGAATGACTTAGGAATCTTTCTCTCTTGTATTATTACTTAGTCTAGCTATACTACATTTATGAGTATCTAATTCTATCTCTGGATTATTATCATTACCATGCATTTATCATTTATATATATCTTTTGGCTTACCCCTGTCTAGACTAATTGTTTAGTTAATGATTCCATCATAAGTATAAATATTTATCAATATCTCTTTAGCCACCGCTCCTCCCTGTGGTAAAATATAAATAATGATACCTAGAATACTCACGGGTGAAGTACTACAATGTTATATCTGTGCGCTTGCTGAATTTCATATCTTTCTAAGTCACATTAAAATACCATGAACGTTTCTAGCTTCATTACTTTTAGTAGCGATGCTAATAAATACCAACAAACATTTCTGGCGCCGTTGCCGGGGAGGGCTTAGGCTAAAAGAGAATTGATCAAATAATACTTATTGATGATATCATAACTATGCACCACAGCTCCGCCAGGCTTACCCTTGTGTTTTTATTTGTTCATATCTTCTACAGGGTATTGTTGGACTGGTTTTGATTCCCCAACAATTCCATTCAGAAGCTTATACTTAAAAGAATAACCGAAAGCTCATTAGGCCAAGCTTCCTAATCAGAATCAAACCATTCAAGAGACAGCTCAACACTAGTTTCTGAAGCTATGGCTAACAAGACACTACGTGAGTTCTTTGCTCCAAGCACTGAAAACATTTGCACTGGACCAACACTCAAAACCAAGAACCTTGAGTTCGAACTCAAGCCAAGCCTCATCAACATGGTGCAAGCTAACCCATTCAACGGAAAGGCACATGAAGATGCTAGTGCTCATCTCTAGAATCTCTTGGAGATTAGTAGCATAGTTACGATCAAGGACGTCACCCAAGATATCATGCTACTTTGCCTATTTCCATTTTCTCTTTTGGAGAAGGCGAAGCAGTGGTTCTATACCAACAAAGATGACATCGACACATGGGCAAATTGTTTGAAGGACTTTCTAGCAAATTTTTTTCCTATAGGCAAAACCAATGCTCTATGAGGAAAAATCTCCGACATCAAGCAACAGAAAGGTGAAAACATTCGAGAAGCATGCGAACATTTCCAAGAATATATTTCAGATTGTCCTCATCATGGGATGGAGGATTGGTTGCTCATGCAAGGCTTTTATCATGGATTAACTAAGAAGGCTCATGAACAACTTGATGCTGCTGCTGGAGGAGTATTTATGTCACTCACCATTGATAAAGCCGAAGCTCTCATGAAAAAGATAGCTTCTAACCGAGGCTGGTCACAAGGCAACATTCAATAGTGCAAGAAGAGCGAGGAAGTCAAAGAAGAGGTGTGTGCACTATCCACCAAGATGGACGTATTACTAAACTGGCTCGAACAGCGAGCCGATTACAAGAAAGATCGACAAGC